AAAAAAAAAAAAAAAAAAAAAAAAAAAAAAATTAGCTGGGTGTGGTGGTGTGCACCTGTAGTCCCAGTGATTAGGGAGGCTGAGGCAGGAGAATCACTTGAATCCAGGAGGTGTGGGTTGCAGTGAGCTGAGATGGCGCCACTGCACTCCAGCTTGAGTGACAAGAGTGAGATTCTGTCTCAAAAAAAAACCAGAAAAACTATTTTAATTATTTTTGGGGAAGGGTAGAGAAAGACATTTATCCATCACCCCACCAGTGAAAAACATAACCATTCTCACCTGCCAAATGTCCTCAGTGTGCTGCCATCAGGAACTTGGCCTGCACTGACCTCCCAGGGGAGGTAAAAAATCCCAGGTTTGGGCAGCATCATGGGCTCCTGTAACCAAATAGTTGAGATGGATTCTGCAGATTCCTGATAAACCAAATAGACTACAAAATAAAGATTAGCAGATATATGATACCTAAAGCATCTTGAAGACTAGTTTTTTTTGTTTTGTTTTTTTGTTTTGTTTTTTTTTGAGATGGACTTTCACTCTTGTTGCCCAGGCTGGAGTGCAATGGCATGATCTCGGCTCACTGCAACCTCCACCTCCCAGGTTCAAGCAATTCTCCTGCCTCAGCCTCCCGAGTAGCTGGGACTATAGGCGAGCACCACCATACCCATCTAATTTTTTGTATTTTCATAGAAATGGAGTTTCACCATGTTAGCCAGGCTGGTCTCAAATTCCTGACCTCAGGTGGATCCGCCTGCCTCAGCCTCCCAAACTGCTGGGATTACAGGCATGAGCCACTGGGCCCGGCCAGCAGTGTTCAAATTTAAAAAAAAAATTTTTTTAATAGGATATGCATTCATGTATTTAAAAACAAACAAACAAACAAACAAACAGATCAGCCTTGACAGCAGAGTGAGACTTCATCTCTATGAAAAAATTTAAAAATTAGGCTAGGCACAGTGGTTCACACCTGTAATCCCAGCTCTTTGGGAGGCCAAGGTGGGTGGATTCCTTGAGACTAGGAGTTCAGGACCAGCCTGGGCAACATGGCAACTCCCCATCTCTATTAAAAAAATACAGCCGGGGCCGGGCGCGGTGGCTCAAGCCTGTAATCCCAGCACTTTGGGAGGCCGAGGCGGGTGGATCACGAGGTCAAGAGATCGAGACCATCCTGGTCAACATGGTGAAACCCCGTCTCTACCAAAAATACAAAAAATTAGCTGGGCATGGTGGTGCGTGCCTGTAATCCCAGCTACTCAGGAGGCTGAGGCAGGAGAATTGCCTGAACCCAGGAGGCGGAGGTTGCGGTGAGCCGAGATCGTGCCATTGCACTCCAGCCTGGGTAACAAGAGCGAAACTCCGTCTCAAAAAAAAAAAAATACAAAAATTAGGCAGGCATGGTGTCTCTCACCTGTAGTCCCAGCTACTTAGGAGGCTGAGGCAGGAGGATCACTTTACCACAGGAGGTTGAAGCTGCAGTGAGCTATGATCACATCATTATACACTAGCCTGGGAAAGAGAGTAAGACCCTGTTTCAAAATAATAATAAACCAAAACAATATTGAAAAGCTATGTGTGGGCTGGGCGTGGTGGCTCATGCCTGTAATCCAAGCACTTTGGAGGCCAAGGCGGGCGCATCACCTGAGGTCAGGAGTTCAAGATCAGCCTGAATAACATGGTGAAACCCCGTCTATAAAAAAAAATAAAAATAAAAAATAAAAGGCTATGTGTGGCCCAGAATAGTAGCTCACACCTGTAATCCCAGTGCTCTAGGAGGCCAAGTTGGGAGGACTGCTTGAGGCCAGGAGTTCAGGACCAGACTGAGAACAAAGCAACACCCTGACTTTATAAAAAAATTTTTTAAAAATTGGCCAGGCGCGATGGCTCACACCTGTAATCCCAGCACTTTGGGAGGCCGAGGCGGGTGGATCACAAGGTCAAGAGATCGAGACCATCCTGGCCAACATGGTGAAACCCCATCTCTACTAAAAATGCAAAAATTAGCTGGGTGTGGTGGCGTGCACCTGTAGTCCCAGCTTCTTGGGAGGCTTAGGCAGGAGAATTGCTTGAACCTGGGAGGCGGAGGTTGCAGTGAACCAAGATTGCACCACTGCATTCCAGCCTGGGTAACAGAACAAGACTCCGTCTTAAAAAGAAAAAAAACAGGCAAGCTAGAAACACATGTAGTACCAGCTACTCAGGCAGCTGAGGTGGGAGGATGGCTGGAGCCCAGGATTTCAAGGCTACAGTGAGCTATGGGAGCATTACTGCACTCCAGCATGGATAACAGAAGGAGGCCCTGTCTCTAAAAAAATAAAAAGGCTGGGTGCAGTGGCTCATGCCTATAATTCCAGCACTTTAGGAGGCCGAGGTGGGCAGATCACCTGAGGTCAGGAGTTTGAGACCAGCTTGGCCAACATGTTGAAACCTCGTCTCTACTAAAAATACAAAATTAGGTCAGCTGCAGTGGCTCATACCTGTAATCCCAGCATTTCAGAAGGCTGAGGCGGGTGGGTCACTTGAGGTCAGGAGTTCGAGACCAGCCTGGCCAACTTGGTGAAACCCGTCCCTACTAAAAATACAAAATTAGCTGGGCATGGTGACCTTCACCTGTGATCCCAGCTACCTGGGAGGCTGAGGCATGGGAATTGCTTGAACCTGGGAGGTGGAGGTTGCAGTGAGCAGAGATTGAGCCACTGCACTCCAGCCTGGGCAAGAGAGAGAGAGACATCGTCTCAAAAAAATAAATAAGGCTGGCGCAGTGGCTCATGCCTGTACTCCCAGCACTTTGGGAGGCCAAGGTGGGCAGATCACAAGGTCAGGAGTTTGAGACCAGCCTGGCCAACATGTTGAAACCCTGTCTCTACTAAAAATACAAAAATTAGCCAGGCGTGGTGGTGCATGCCTGTAATCCCAGCTACGTGGGAGGCTGAGACAGGAGAATCGCTTGAACCTGGGAGGCGGAGGTTGCAGTGAGCCAAGATCATACCATTGTACAGCAGCCTGGGCAACAGGGGTAGACTCCATCTCAAAAAAAAAACCAAAAAACAAAAAATCGCCGGTGTAGTGGCTGACACCTGTAATCCAAGCACTTTGGAGGCCAAGGCGGGCGGATCACCTGAGGTTGGGAGCTCAAGACCAGCCTGACCAACATGATAAAACCCCGTCTTAAAAAAAAAAAATACAAAAATTAGCTGGCATGGAGGCACATGCCTGTACTCGGGAGGCAGGAGAATTGCTTGAACCCAGGAGGCAGAGACTGCAATGAGCCGAGATCGCACCACTGCATTATAGCCTGGGCGACAGAGACAGACTCTGTCTCAAAAAAAAAAAAAAAAAATGCTGGGACTACAGGCATGAGCCACTGTGCCTGGCCTTAATTTTTTTTAGCAACAAGGTCTCAGTCTGTCACCAAGGCTGGAGTGCAGTGGTGGAATCATAACTCACTGCAGCCTCAAACTCCTGTACTCAAGTGATTCCCCTTGCCTCAGCCTCCCAATAACTGGGACTACAGGCGAGTACCACCACACCTGGCTGCCTTCAACGACTTCTTTTTTTGTTGTTTTAATTTTTATTTTTTGAGACAGAGTCTTGCTCTGTTGCCTGCCTGGTAAAGCTGGTATCCCATCATAGATATGACCCTGTATCTGTGAGGCCTCTTCCAGGGGCTGATGGTCAGGGATACAAGCTGCTGAGCAACGAGCAGAGAAGCAGCAACTGCTTGTGGACACTACAGATAGAGGCAGCCAACTTCAAACGCTGCAACTCCAGGGAAAGATCACCTTCCCACACCATCCCCTTTCCAACTCTCATCCCGCTAAGAGCCATCACCCAATAAAATTATTGGCATACAGTGCCCTTCAATCTGTTTGTGTAATCTGATTCTTCCTGGACGCCAGACAAGAACCTGGGTGCCAAGAGGGCAGAGGCTTGGACACTGCTGTGGACCCCACACAGAGCCTGCTCCCGCCAGAGAGGAGTGACTGCTGGCTTGTTCCCTCTGGTTCCTGCAACTGCTTTCTCTCATGCTCCCTTTTGAGAGGAGTGGCCAATGGCAGGCTGAGTGAAAGCAGCCACTGTAGCTCTCAACCACGAAGGGGATCAAGGGAACAATCCCATCTCAGCATGATTTCGGCTCACTGCAATCTCTGCCTCCCAGGTTCAAGCAATTCTCCTGCCTCAGCCTGCCAAGTAGCTGCGCCCACCACCACACCCAGCTTTTTTTTTTTTTTTTTTTTTTGTATTTTTAGTAGAGACCGTGTTCACCAGGTTGGCCAGGCTGGTCTTGAACTCCTGACTTCAAGTGATCCATCCAACAGAGTCTCGCTCTGTCACCCAGGCTGGAGTACAGTGGTGAGATCTCGGCTCACTGCAACCTCCGCCTCCCAGGTTTAAGCGATTCTCCTGCCTCAGCCTACTGGGTAGCTGGGACTACAGGTGCATGCCACCTCTCCTGGCTAAATTTTTTTTTGACACGGAGTCTCACTCTGTCACCCAGACTGGAGTGCTGTGTTGCGATCTTGGCTCACTGCAACCTCTGCCTCCTGGATTCAAGCGATTCTCCAGCCTCAACCTCCTACGTAGCTGGGACTACAGGCAGCTACAGACATCATGATCTGCCGCTACCACACCCAGCTAAATTTTTTGTATTCTTAGTAGAAACAGGGTTTCACCATGTTGGTCAGGATGGTCTCGATCTCTTGACCTTGCGATCTGCCCGCCTCAGCCTCCCAAAGTGCTTAGATTACAGGCGTGAGACACTGTGCTTGGCAAGTTTTGCATTTTTAGCAGAGACAGGATTTCACCATGTTTGCCAGGATGGTCTCGAACTCCTGACCTCAGATGATCTGCCCACCTCAGCCTCCCTAAGTGCTGGGGTTACAGGTGTGAGCCGCTGTGCGCTGCTGAGTTTCACTTTGTTCATCAACACATTCCTCTTGTACCCTCTCAGGCACATAGTGTCAGGAAGACGTGTTCCGTTTGTCAGCAACAGAGACAATCTGCCTGTGACTATGGTGCAGATCACGTGGTGCAAGGTCCTGGTCATAGCTGGCAAGTGAGACTCACGCTGGTAGCCCTGGGGGCATTACAAATTGTCCTGACAGGATTAGTTGCTGACTCTGGACTGGGCTTTGCTTACCTGCTGGAAGCTACATATGCTTTCAAAAAACCAGAACAAGGCTGGATGCAGTGGCTCAAGCCTGTAATCCCAGCACTTGAAGAGGCTGAGGCGGGCAGATCACTTGAGCTCAGGAGTTTGAGACCAGCCTGGGCAACCTCATTTCTACTAAAAATATAAAACTTAGCAGGGTGTGGTAGTGTGTGCCTGTAATCCCAGCTACTTGGGAGGATGAGATGGGAGGATTGCTTGAGCCTGGGAGGT